ACCTGTGTGACGATGCTCGTTTGTTTCTTGCGGGCACTGGTTTCCAACGAAGCACCTGCAGGAGGGTGACCAGATGCGTACTAGCCTCAAACCGGCTATGAAGTCAAATCGGTCACATTGCGATGAGTTACCACTGGTGAGGCTGGGTCCAGGAATGTCGCACAGGCGTGGGCACCAACCATACCTTTGTATGTGCCTACCTGTGGAAGTGTCTTAGTGGACGTCCACGATTACGCTGTGAGCGCACTGTCCCCAGCCAACTGACGCAGCCGGCTGTTCTTTATGCCTATCAAAGTGGGCTGACATACGAGTTGCCTAACCGCTCACTGAATACAATTGGAGCTTCATGACTTCATGATCACAAAACATTACTAGCAGCAGGCAAATGCCCACGTGGTTAATCTAATCGGCAGCGTGGAGTTTGGGCGTTTTCGCATTCTCTGGAACTTATCGATGCTCGCCACTACATGCCGGCTGCAAGCAAACACAATGACGCTCGCAGAAACCTACGGGCCAAGCTTAGTGCCAGCCCGAAGAGAGATCGCAAATCCTACTGCTCTCATCATGCATCAGAGCTGGACATAGCCGTTGATTTTGGTAACCGTCCTAGCTCATTCCGTCTGCTACGCAAACCGGACAGCTGGAGACCCGGTGTTGGTAAAGCTATACGTGACGAGAGTGGACAGCCTACCCTCAACTTGTTAAGACATTGGGTGCGTCGGCTGAGCACTTTGAAGGGCAGTATAACTAATCGGAGCTAATCGGGGCTAAGTCGAGTGAACGTCCCAGATTCGTTCGCTGGCTTATGTCGTTCCATGACACGATCTGCTAGTTCGACAACTGCTGTGAGAGGCAGGGCGCTTGCCACGGCAAGGATGGCTTGTGTGCTTTCTGGGAGACGTCGCATCCACATTTCGCGGAGAATACCTTCATCCATGCTGGATGTGCCTAGGAGCTGTTGCATTGGTCGCAACAAGGCTGAAGGCATCCTGTTCCCTAGCTGCAGATCCTTAAACAGATGCTGCAATCGGACCTTGTCAGTAGACGTGATTGGCTGAACAATAGCCTGTTTATGGGTCTCTTATTTCATTACTAGAGGGGGCAAAGTATGATGTCTCGCACCCGCGAGGATATACTCTGAGGAAGGCAAGATATTAGCTGATTATACATGGCGAAATCAAAAGAAATCTTTCGAATATAAAATGCGGATCTGGGTGCAAAAATGATAATAAAGGATCATTCTCCCAAAAAGGGGGAGGGCCTAACGCAACAGAATTGACCCTGACACGCTTAACAGCGTTAATCGCACATGGAGACGGCTTATCCTCTGGCTAATCCATTGCAAAAAGCAGATAAAAATGTGGTAGGTGAAAAAACAATATGAGCACAAGTATTGAATCACAAAATCACTGGAACGAGCTCACCGGAATGAAAATGCAAAGTGGTGGGCGGCGCGTTCCTGACAAGGGGTCACCAATTGTTGGGCGGAGCCTGGGATACTAGTCGGTAAGCAATGCCACTGTCAACTACGACAGTATATAAGTCGGAGGCGACTGAACCCAACGTATATTGTGCAGTCTACTAGAATAGGAAGCGAATAAGACAGAGCGAGAAAGGTGCAGCGTGGTACTCACCTAAACGGTTTGTATCAACGGTAGTGCAGTCAGTAAAACAAATAAACGTTTCGAAGATTAAAACAACCGTAAAATACAATGTTACAAAATACTGAAAGAGCTTGTTTTCCGGTACACTACATGCTAAGATAGCCAATATCGAAATTCCTGGGCTTAGTCACTAAGGAAGATGAAAACAAAAACACAAGTTTATATATGTGGGATGATAGTAATAATATATTGAAAGCGAGTAGTGCAACAATGTTCCATGAATTCCTGTATAAAGACCTTTAGTCGGTGTAACTAATTCTAATGCCTAAACAAAAAGTAACATTTAATAACTAATAAAAGGAGCGTGATTGATAAAATGGAAAGTAGGTATTAGTTCTTTAAACTGTCCATATAGACCAATAGGAGGAAAGCAAATAAATATGATTGTGTAGCGTTTGTAAATTTACTTATCTTTCATTGTACATTCCTTTCCTATTACAACCAATTCTTGTACATTAACCTTGTACACTTGTTTTGATTGATAAATAACACACTTTTTGAACCACGCGGGCAACTCGACGTGTTCTCTCTGTGTTCTTGTGTCGCGGATTTTATGGCATTGTCGATCACTACGTTCTAACCTCGAGCAATATTCATCTACAGATCTCGTTCCGTCTCAACTGGTTTCACCATCCTCGTCGTTGCAATCCATCGGAGTGTCTGACACAAGAGGACTAGGAAGTTTTATGTGGTTGGACTTCTAACCCACGTCGAACCCTTCTGTGAGTCTTGTCATTTTTGATCATCTTTTATTCATCTTTATTTCTCTTTGGGTCCGAGTCCACTACATAATTGGTGACCCCGAATTTTTTCTTAGTACTTCATTTTTTTGTAAGCTCAGGACTCCCAATATTTTTTTGCACGACTACTATGGAATCCAAACCTAGTATGAGGACGGTTCCCTGTGAAAACCACATTTCCTTTAATTTACCTGCTTTTTGTGCATCTAATCCTTGCGTTTGGTTCACGCAAATCGAGGCATATTTCCGTTTCCGTAGGATTACTACACAAGAGGCTATGTTTTCCTATGTAGCTACTCAGCTCCCTACGGATACTGCCACTGAGGTGATCGACGTCCTTTACCCAATGCCAACAGAATTTCCGTACGATACCCTTAAAGCTGCTGTGTTAAAACGCACAACCGCTTCCGACGAGTCTCGCTTACAGCAACTCCTATCTGGTGTTGAACTTGGCGACCGCTCCCCATCTCAGCTTCTGCGACACATGAGAACTTTAGTTGGTAGCTACAAAGTTGATGACTCAGTCCTGCGCCAACTTTGGACTAAATGTCTACCACCTAATACCGTCCTCGTTTTGTCCGTCCAAGGTGATGAAATTTCGCTTGATAAGTTAGCTGAACTAGCCGACAAGGTGCATGAATGCTTTTTCAAGCATCCCATTAATCAGGTCTCGCAGCCTACTAACGCGTTTGAAAGTACGTCTGTAATGGATAGGCTGCAGAACCAGATTGAACAGCTAACTGCCCAAGTTTCCCTCATCACCAAACATCTTAACCGCCGTGGAAGTGTATCACCTGGCCGAAACACACGTGCTCTACCCTCCAACCGTGACCAACTGAATCGTTTCTGTTATTTTCACAAACGATTTGGAGATGCTGCACGGAACTGTAGGCCGTGGTGTTCGCACCCTAAAGCCTTTCGCTTACAGAACCAACAGGGAAACCCGCCGGCCAGCCAGTAATGGCGACAGCTGCCGCTGGCCAACACCATAGTCGCCTTCTCCACGTGTTTGACAACTCAACCGGCTACCGTTTTCTCGTCGACACGGGTGCCGAAGTTAGCGTCATACCCGTAGGTACACAAAAACGCCAACTTTCTCCGGGGCATGTCACACTCCAGGCGGCCAATGGTACGAAAATTCAGACGTATGGTCAGAAACTGTTAACCCTAGATCTGGGACTCCGACGTCGACTACCTTGGCTTTTCTTAATCGCCGACGTTCAGAAGCCCATTCTTGGCATCGATTTCTTGACGAAGTTTGGCATCATCCTTGATCTCGGAAACAGGAAACTCCGTGATAGCGTCACCTCACTTACTGTCTCTGGCAAAGTCCTCGCTATCGACTCGATTGGCATTCGTTTGGCTCTGCCTTCCGACAATAAGTTTACTGCTCTTCTGCGCAAGTTTCCGTCCATTTATCAACCGATCAGCGATGACTTTCAGCCCAAACACGAAATCCGCCATCACATCGAAACTAAAGGCAATCCTGTCACCGCCAGACCACGACGTCTTGCTCCCGACAAACTCGCCATTGCCAAATCTGAATTTCAACACATGATGAATTTAGGCATTATTCGTCCATCGAATAGCCCATGGTCATCCCCACTTCACATGGTTTCAAAGAAATCCACAGGGGATTGGCGACCATGCGGCGACTATCGCGCTCTAAATAACGCCACTGTTCCAGACAAATACCCAATTCCCCACGTCCATGACTTTTCCATGAGTCTATACGGAAGACGCCTTTTCTCTAAAATTGATCTAGTCCGCGCGTATTACCAGATTCTAATGGCCCCAGAAGACATACCTAAGACCGCAATCACGACGCCATTCGGTCTTTACGAGTTTCTCCGTATGCCGTTTGGTCTCCGAAACTCTGCCCAGACATTTCAGCGATTTATTGACCAAGTCCTTCGTGGTCTTGATTTTGTCTTCGCCTATATCGACGACATTTTGGTGGCCAGCGCAACCGAAGGGGAACATCTGTCTCATTTACACCAGGTTTTCCAACGTCTAGCTCATTTTGGTGTCACAATCAACCCTGCTAAGTGCATTTTTGGCATGCCTAGCATCGATTTTCTTGGACATCACATCGACTCCACAGGTATACGTCCACTTCCGGACAAGGTCACTGCCATCACCGACTACCCTGTGCCTCAGTCCATAAAGAGCCTCCGACGTTTCCTCGGTATCATTAACTACTACTGTCGTTTTATCCCTAACTGTTCCGATGTCCTAAAACCGCTCACCGATTTACTGCAGCGTAACCCGAGAAAGCTAATTCTGTCACCCGACGCTCTAGCTGCTTTCGAAAAAGCCAAACAAACGCTAGCAACCGCGACTTCGCTGAGTCATCTGAACACAGACGCCAGCACCAGGTTAGTACTTAAAACCGACGCGTCGCAATCAGCTGTCGGAGCCGTTTTACAACAGGTCATGGACAACGAAGTCCAGCCTCTGTCCTTCTTCTCACGGAAGCTCCAGCCGGCGCAAACCAGGTACAGCACGTTCGGCCGTGAACTTCTTGCTGTTTACCTCGCCATTAAGCACTTCCGCCACATCCTCGAAGGACGCCACTTCATCGTTCCAACTGACCATAAGCCACTTGTCTACGCATTTAACTCGCCAGCTGATCGCTATTCTCCTCGGGAGACAAGGCATCTTGATTATATCTCGCAGTTTACCTCTGCCATCCGCTACATCGAGGGGCCAGGCAACATTGTCGCTGACGCGTTATCCCGCACCGACATTCACCAACTGTCGACATCGTCCATCCACTTAGAGGACATTGCTGCTGCACAAATCACTGACTCTGATTTCGAATCTGTTCGCAATAACAAAGCACTGAAGTTCGTCCAGTTACCTTTGCTTCACTGTGATTCGAAAATACATTGTGACATTTCCACCGGTAAGCCGCGTCCATACGTCCCATTGTCGTACCGGCGGAAAATTTTCGATCATCTTCATGGCCTTTCCCATCCGAGCATCCGTTCTACCGTTAAGCTCATCACGGATCGCTATATTTGGCCAAACATGAATATTGACATCAGGCAATGGGCAAAATCCTGTATTCAATGCCAAAAGAGTAAAGTTCATCGTCATACCATTACCACTCCAGGAACTTTCTCACTTCCAGACGCGCGTTTCAAACACGTTCACCTGGATATAGTTGGACCGTTGCCTCCTTCAAACGGTTTTACGCACTTATTAACTTGTGTTGATCGTTTCACAAGATGGCCGCATGCAGTCCCATTGCGTGATACCTCTGCCGAAACTGTCGCTCACACTTTCGTTGAATCGTGGGCATCTGTCTTTGGTGTACCTGCGACCATTACCACCGATAGAGGACCACAGTTCACGTCCACCTTGTTTCGCGACTTAAACCGCCTCATGGGATGCAACCACTTACGCACCACCGCGTATCATCCTGCTTCTAATGGTTTGGTGGAACGTTTCCATAGACAGTTGAAGGCAGCTTTAACAGCCAGCGCTACATCCTGGTACGAAGCCTTACCTATCATACTGCTCAGTATACGCAACACAAGCAAGGAAGACATCGGCTGCTCTCCTGCCGAGCTTACCTTCGGTACAACGCTTCGACTTCCTGGTGAGATGATCGTCGATTCCAGAATCACCGGTGAATCTGATCCCACTTCATATGTCGCCCGGCTTAAACATCATATGAGTCAGCTCCAGCCAACGCCGACGAGACGGACATCACGCATACCTCAAGTTCATAAGGATTTACACTCATGTCCCTTCGTATTCGTTCGCGTTGATGCTGTTCGCAAGCCACTGCAACCGCCTTATGAAGGGCCATTCAAAGTGATTTCGCGACATGACAAGTATTACGTTGTCGATCGTAACGGCACGCCTGATTCTGTCAGTCTCGATCGTTTGAAAGTTGCCTACCTGGATGATTGTTCCAACTCCACTCCGGTTTTCTCACACTCATCCGCCTCCGCTACTGATCCTCGTACCGAATGTACTCGTATGCATCCAACGACAACTACGCCTACAGACTCTACCTGTTTACCACAACCCCCTACAACACATACTCGTTCTGGTAGGACTAACAAAACTCCTGTGCGTTTCCGCGACTACACACAATAATACTATCGAGCGTTTTCTCTCTTTCCAACGCTCTAGGGGGGGAGTTCTGTAGCGCTTGTAAATTTACTTATCTTTCATTGTACATTCCTTTCCTATTACAACCAATTCTTGTACATTAACCTTGTACACTTGTTTTGATTGATAAATAACACACTTTTTGAACCACGCGGGCAACTCGACGTGTTCTCTCTGTGTTCTTGTGTCGCGGATTTTATGGCATTGTCGATCACTACGTTCTAACCTCGAGCAATATTCATCTACAGATCTCGTTCCGTCTCAACTGGTTTCACCATCCTCGTCGTTGCAATCCATCGGAGTGTCTGACACAAGAGGACTAGGAAGTTTTATGTGGTTGGACTTCTAACCCACGTCGAACCCTTCTGTGAGTCTTGTCATTTTTGATCATCTTTTATTCATCTTTATTTCTCTTTGGGTCCGAGTCCACTACAATTGTAGGAAACGTGGTTGCTTCGCGCCGATTGAATTTTGTTATTCGCCTGACTGCCTGTCAATACCACATTCAGTAAGTAAGGGAAAGCTTCGGAACTGACGAGAAGCAGGCGTATGCTGGTTGCACTGATCCCGCTTATTGGGTATGAATACGACAACAGACGGCGCGAAGTAACCTTGAGCAGAATGCGCGTGACCCACCGACTGAGCAGCCTGCCGACTCCAATTGTGAAGCCGTGAGTAGGTATTGGGTATGCGTTGGATTAAAAACCCTAATTCAGACTACATTTAACATGCTGCAGATGACGGCTAAATGTACAATAAGAAGATACTTTCATTTAGCAGTTGAAACAAGAAACAAACCCTGTGGATCTCCAGTATGTTACATACCAACTGAACTGGCGGCCCATTACGCAGATGGGTAGTGAAAGAACCGAAAATTGGAGAAAAATTATAGCATTATTTAAGCTTGGATGTCTCAACCGAAAAGATTGACAAAGCTGAAAAAATTTAGCGGCTATAAGATAGGAAAATTTTGTTTAAACTTCCCTCGGACGGATACATCATAACGATAGCAAAACGTAACGGGTAAACGGAGGAATACAACAGCTTAAACCAAAAGGACAAGTTGGTAAAAAATAATAATTTTCTTGAGGTGTAAGTCTAAGCCATACACTAGGTCTTTGATGAGCTAATATTATATCAAACCCTAGAACCATCTATCGGTAGAGGAAGCGGTAAAATTTCATCTATTAGGGTAAAAAGAACACAGATTAAGTAAAAGCTAGAAATAGATTACATGCTTTAGGCTATAAAATATTCCAGTCAACTACCATTTGTCCATTAGCGGTAAAAGCAAAATATCGTCATCTTTGATCGGGTAAGCCGGTCGGTTAGTCAATAATTATGGGATGCCAACAAAGGGCCAATCCGTGGAGGACATCTACTTAATCGTAGCTCCCAGGTAATTTAATCGATTTCGTTTTCTTAGACGGATGAGCAAGATTTTGTAAGCATAACAATATGGGTAATCTGTAAGTAGGTAGACCTTAACACGGTGGTCATGAGAAACAGACGTCTGCGATCAGTGAAACTTACCACTTACTCCCATTTATCGATTATGACAATTAAAACCACAGCTGCTGCACCCTAAAGTCTTGGTAATCATGGAAACCTCCACCAGTCCACAATTCTGCCGGTAAGTAGAAAACTAAATGAGTTAATCTAAAGCTTAAGGAGAGTAACGCGTAAGCCGTGATGTAGCGGCCGGACGACAATACATATTTTTCTGTTCCAATCAAAACCACGTCGAAGTCTGCAGATGCTGCTCTGTAATTGTCCGCAGCTGAGCAATGTCGTTATTCCAAAATGCCCGAAGGTAAACAAAAATTTCACATAAAGGAGGAAAACGGAGCACTCATGGCCCTGTACAGGGAATATAATGCTACCATTAAAAGTGAACCGGAAATAATATATAACTAAATATTGATCCTCTACAAACCGAGGCACGTCATTTGGGAACGACCAGAGTAATGCATTGTTGTTACGTAACAGCTTGATGAACAGCTCCATAGGCAGGAGTAATGCAGACGTAGTCAGTTAGTTGATCCCATATTTCCCAACTAATGTATGCAGTTTATCCTTGAGCGTATCGAGGCTGGTCTCGACAAGTCTAATCAGCATGGCATAAGCAAAATCGTTTGCAGAGAACGGGGTGCAAATACCATTGGGGTGCCGCAAGCGTTGGTGAGGAACTGGTCCGCTCTATTGTGCACACAGTGCGGATCAGGTGCGTAAGCATGGTGGCTTGGCACTGATAAAACCTGTATGTGTAGATGGGTGAAAGGGGTCTTTGCACAGAACTTGCGCACCGCGGCATTGGTAAACTTGATAATGCGCAGTAGGGGCAGTGCGCTTAGTTAGTGAAAACTCACAGTTGCTATGTCGCAGCGTTTGTAAAACAGACAGTTGTAGATTTTTGTACGGTTTGTTTGCCGGGCGGAAATCAACTGCTTCCTGGAACACGGCTGATCGGTAATATGACAGTAAGAGGGCTGCCTTTTTACTGATTGTTCTCACACCTATCCGCATTTATGATTCCTCAATCGGTTGCTGGCTGCCGTGTAATTGGCTCCTTCGGAGTCGCCTTCAGTTGATTGGAGAGGAGACGTCGGACGACCCTGGGGCTGGTTTATTGTAACCGTTTTTATCAATTCCATTGGTGCCCCATGATTCAGCGGGATGGAAGAGTTCAATGATTCCGGTTGAATCTGTAGGCAAGTGGGCATCGCAGATATGTCCTCGGTGTTTTACATAGGTGTGGCTAACCGTTAACAGCGAGAAAGAAATACCAGGCTAAATAATCTGTCAAATAACCTGTACAGGGCCATAATAAGGTTTGAATAAAAAGGTTTTACTAATTTTGTGGGAGCTAAACCAATGCATGGACAGGAGATGTTATATAACAGCTCTGGTGTTTTGCGTGCAATTCCAAGACCCGATAGTTGCTAGAAGAGAGAAACGTATGCAACCTGAATTGGCCTATCCTGAGCAGTAGTCGCCCTGTAGGTTAGTGAGCAGTATCGTGCGTTGTTAAAGGAATCAACATTGCTAACAAATAAAGGATGATACAACCAGGAGACAGGTTAAGTTTGCAACTGCCAATAGGCGCTGGCCGCAAGAATATACAAAAAGCCAGAAAATTTGCTGCAACGCGAGTGGTTAATGCGCACGGACACACGAAATAACTACGTCTAGAAACCTTCCTATAAAAGGAATATTGTATCATCTTTAGTAATTACCTGCCAGAGAAATAGCTGGGAACAAGTGCAAGCTGAAACGTCGGAGACGTTACAACGGGTGAGTGGTAGATGGACCTCTTGAGGGGCAAACGTTAGGCGTAATGACGGCATAACGAATAGTCCATATTAGGTAGCACGTAGAAGTATACTGAAGTGGGTTTGCTTTTGGAAAGCCAGCAAAAGGGAATGATGGAACCCTGTAGGAAGTTTAAAACCAAGGCACAGCGAGAGCGGACACTTTGGTTGTCCCAACTTGCCAGAAGCATAAAGATGGCTTACTAACAGAAAGAAACAGATGGCAAGGTACATGCATGTAGTAAGGTTGTGGAATCAGCCATGGCATATATACCTGTGCAGCAGTGACGTGCGAAGCCGTAAGGCATCCTAGCAGGCTAGGAAGGTGGGCTTTTAGTTACAAGTGACGGAGTGTCGGTGACATAAATAGATAAGTAGACTGCGTTCTCGGCTATGCGAGATACGCCTACGGAGGCACGATCAAATAAAGGCAATTATACAGAAGTTTCATAGCAATCGTAACAGGGACAAGCGGCTAGACAGCCGATAAAACGAACAGCTTCGTGCAAGGCAGAAGTGGTACGGTGCTCCGAGTATGCAGCTTACCTTAGTTAAGTGGTGGATGAATAATGGTTAGAATCCTTATTGACGCACTTATCCTTAAACGTGTCTAAGCTAAACCTATCCTGAATCTAGCCAAACGTACCGCTTATATTTGCGTAGTAAAGTGGTTACTGAATACTCCACAAGCAACTTATAAAAAGCAGCCCGGCCTTAACTTTTATGGAATCAGGGTACAGGATTAGAAATAAACTAAGATATTTATTTATTTATTTATACTTTGGGTTTGCACAGACCAAGCCAGAATATCGACTGTTCATTTAGAAGCAGGCGCATCCTCTGTTTGTTAGTTGCCTTGACCAGCATGTTGTTGAAGTTTCGCAGTAATCAGGCATTTCGCCCAATAACGTTTCACAAGCAAGACAAAACCTGGAATATTGTGAAAAACTAAAATGCCCATTTGCCACTATCCTGCCATGCTTCATGCCGATCCGCCGATCCTTGCTCACCGTTGCTGAATGCTACCTTCTAAAACACCTGCCACTTAAACAACCAACGCAACGCATATAGATTTACCCGCTCGACCCGAAAACCAGCTTAAGGTACGTCCATGACCAAAACGACATTCAGTCGCCCTTGAGCGTGGGAGTCCATACACGGATTGATGCGCAAACGCTTGGCTACGTGATGCTTACTAGGACACGCGGCTTTGTTCTCGGGAAGAGGATCGTTTGGGTCGTGGACTGGGTGCAGCTGGAAAGCATCAGTTCCCAAACGTACGAACAGGTCTACAGCGGTAGAAATGCGCTGTCGGTCTTTGCACTACACCAAACCATGTTTGAACACAACGTGCTTGCACCGACGGCATTCTGATGAGGCACGCTAGTTCAAACGGAAAAGAAATATTAAGTATCGGAAGCTCGGACCCAGCGAACTCTGTGGCAATCGATTTTTGGAAATTCCGTGTTCAATCATATTCTTACCTCCGCAGCAATGCTCACAAAACCTCTCACCCCTGCCAACTATATCAAGGGCTCCTATTCTTCGGCACACTAGGGTTAATCCCTTGTAGTGCCCCTAAATATATGCCTTCTTTATCTCCTTTGTATGGTTGCTTACCTAAGCTCTACATTATGAGGTGCCTTGGTCACTTTGCAATGAACGGGCGTCAAGCTGTACCTCTGGGTTTTCAGTTCTCAGTTGGCATTAGACCTCGGCACCTAGCAACCTAGGACGACCAATAATCAAGCGCGACGCAGGGCTTTTGAGTCTTACATTTTGATGCGTACATACCCCTTGCTTATTACAGCGCCTTTGCTACTTTGCGGTAAAGTCCGTTCAGCTTCACTAATGGCCCGCCATTAATTAGCTTGCATTGTTACTTTTCACGTAGCAACATGTGGAAACTTAGCTAACCCGCGCGATTTAGCTCACTAATTGTGTTTATCAAAAGGCCGCTTTTCTTTTATTCGCTACTAACTTAGGTTTAT